CACACCACCCATGCGAAAGAATGAATTAAGCTGCAGTCGGCGTGCTTGCAGTTGCTTCGGACGGCAGGCTGCCACTGCTATGCGAGAAAACCCCCATTTCCGAGTGTCACCTAGTCACTCATGCCGTTGCTTCTTGGAAAGCAAGGCCTCGATGCGTTGCATCTGCTCATCAAGCTTGGCATCGATGCGGCCTTCCAGGCCTTGGAGCTGGTTTGCCAGCTGGTGATTCACTTTGGATTGCTGATTCTGGAACGTAGACACACTGTGTGTCAATGTGTGCACTTGCGACTCCAAGGCTTCGATCCTTGCGGTCTGATCGGCTGGCATCTGTGGTTCATGAGTTGCCTGCTTGGCGGCATTGATCTTCTGTTCTAGTCGTTGCTCAAGGGCAGCGAGCTGGCCTGATGTGGCAGCCGGGGCGATGGACTGTGCCGCTTGCTTTCTGTTTGTGACATGAGACTGCCACGGGTCGGCCTGCAACCAGGGATCTGTCTGTGGATCTTGGTGTGTCTGAGCCAACTTGGTGATGGTCTGCTTGGAAGCGATGATGTTCGTCATGTTTGGCAATGGAGCTTCCTTCTGGCTATCGATTTTGGCAATGAGGATGTCACCATGTTTCATTTGATATATCCAATGCGAGGGTTCATGTGGCGCAGTGACCTGCCAGAAGATCCCTTCTTGGACCTGCATCTGAGACATGGGTTGCACCGGCCTTGCATTCCATCCAATATGTTTGAGGCCTTTAGAGATGGAAGCCTTAGTTGACCCGTAAGGGAATGGCCCCACCTTGTACGGTCGCAACTCGTGTCCATCCAAGAACATGAGATCGGGCCTGTGCTGGGTATGGACTGCTTCGGCTTGTTCATGTGCAACTCGAAGGCCGAATCGTGCACCCATTCTCACCACCGTAGTCTTAGCTTCGGTTTGGCTTCGTGCAAGTCGGACTTGTGCCAATGAGAGGCGTGGCATCCACACAACTCGGAATGCTGGGTCCGGCCTTCTCCCATCCATGGTTCGTGGTTCGACGTAAATGCCGTCGACGGCGGCGTTCTGCATCAACTGCATGGCGAAGGCTTCAGTGGTGCGAACGAGGAATGCGAATACCTCAGCTTGGTTAGCCTGCGCTCGCCCGAGTTTGGAATCCAGCATCTGTCGATCCCACACATCGAGGATATGTTCGGCCTGTGGGAACTCCGCTACTTGCAGGATAGGGTGCTCGAAGACAGCCTTAACAGGGTGGGTCATGAATTGCGTCCATGAATTTGCCCATTCGTCTCTGTATACCACTATCTTCAGGACTTTGGTGGAGATCTCTTCAACCACAAAGCTTTCAGTCGGCACATGCCGCATCACCCGCTTGGCTCCCAGCTGGAGCATGGCAGCTGACACCAACATTGGTTCACCTGTGTTGGATGCCATGGCCGGGACTCGAATGTGTTCAACCTGTGCAGGGAGTCGGCTGTCTGCATGGTCCAGTATCAACAACGCCACCCCCTCCGAGGAAATTGGTGATGTGAGGCCCAGCAGGTGTGCCACATCCTGGATGTTGCAGAGGGCAACCCCCTGTGCGTGAGCCTCGACCTTGTGCAATGGGATTGCCGAAAGCTTCTGTCCATCTTGTTGCATGAAGATCGAATCTGGCAATTTGATTTGCTCTGCCGAAGGGATGACTGGGGCTTTCGCACTCTTGGCTGGTGGCTTCTTGTTGGCCTTGGAACCAAAAGGCTTAGCACTCTCTAGGCGTGCCTGCACTGCTGCATCGAGTTCGGAGGCAAGGACAATCCGGATGGGCGGGACGGCTTGAGAGGCCATCGTTTTGAGGTCCTTCCAGGTCTGCGAACTGGCAAGTGCTTTCGCAATGGCTTCAGCCCCTAACTGGTTGATCAAGTGCGTGGCACATGTGGACAATCTGTCTTGGCTCACTCCGTGTTGCTTCAAGACTGATTGCAACAGCAATTGGTCTGGCTGCAAAACCCCTCCCAGCCTGATGTTTGAACCTGTGACTTGGTTCTGTTGCAGGACATGACAGGCAAACGGAGTCCTCCACTGGTCGGCCTGGGCCGGTGTGACGGCACGTGGGTTCATGTTGCCTATGGTATGGGCGAACATCCAATTAACGGTTTGGAATCCACAATCGGCAGCAAACCCGGTGGGCAACATAAATGTCTCAAGACCAATTTCGCTGACCCCGCATGACTCGATGATCAGTGGCCGGATGTAACGGTCCAAGTCCTGTGGGACAAACAGAGTGCAATGACCTTGGTTGACATGTGCAGCAAGAGGACTCCAATGGCTCATGAACAGGATTGGGACCATGAAGACATGACAACCAGGGCTTACATCATGGTCATGCATGCTTTGGAGTACCCACTCTGCAATCTGTTGCTCGGGATCGTCCGGCGTATCGATCACAACCGGATGTCCTACTTTATGGCCTTGTTGTCGGATCAGCGCAGCATAATAGGCCATCTCATCAACTGCCACAAGTGGGCCTTGGGTCAGCAGTGCATGGAAGCGGTGGCATGTATTAGTGGTCATGTGTATGAACTGTTCAGCATGGACCGCATTGCACTTAGGAATCTGATGTTTGGCTCCATCAGCTAGGACATACCAGGTGGCTGGTGTCAGGACACTTTGCAGTGGCAGAGGAACTCCGGTGAGTGTGGTAACCACTATGGGTTGCACCAGCATCGAAACCCCCTCCTCGGCTTGTGACAACTGGCCTACTGTGGCACCTTTGTGGACACGAATGCTGAGTGGCGCACAATCTTTGCTGCACACTGTGATAGCAAATTGGTCATCGGTGATCAGACTGAAACTTTCATCTTGGTGGCATCCGTCGACCTTGGCATCCTGTGGCTGGGGTGAATCGGCACCAGCATTCTGTGGCACTTCATCCGGTGCCTGAGTGCGAGTGTTTTCAGTCATAATGAGATCTGGGAGATGGCTTGGTCCCAACCGGCCGCCTTTTCCCTTGCCTCTGCCAGTACTGTCAACTGGGTTGGCCGGTTGATTGCGCGAAAGAACCTCAATGGTTGAGGTCTGCACAACATCTTGAGTCACCTGAGGCACGGGTACCTTAGTCGGACAAACCCTGTTCGGCTTGTTGGCGAAAAACTCCAGGCCTCCAGTGGCAGTGACGACTGTTCCTTCAGGATAGTCGGTTGGATCGATGTGTGCGATGTCAGCCTTTCGTTTGGGCCCCCCGCCATGTGTAACTTTTGGGTCACTTGCGACCGAGGCAACGATGTGCGGCACCGGTGGTGAAATGGCTGCGGACTGTCGGCCGAACTTATCATAAAAGGCTTGCTGGAACAATGCTGATTCTTTGGTATGCACGAACGGGGCAAGCATGAGGTCCCTGGCTGCAAAGACTTCAGTGGCTAAGCCTACCAACGCTTGCTCGGCCATGTTCTGGATGGACTGAACACCAAACACTTTATCGAGAGCTTGAACTACCTGTGCCAAGTGCCAAATCGACTGGGCTGGCGAGGCCATTTGGCCGAGGGCTGTGAGATCAAGTCTCAACGACCGATGCTCCCCTTGGATGTGTACTGTTGGGACCAGGTGCAAAATGGCTACTTCATCAGGATGGATGTGCCTCATGTTTTGGATATCACGGCCCCTTACGTTGGTGACGCCATTCAGAGGTATCAGGGCCCCATACAATCCTTTTTCCTCAAGCCGCTTGTCCGAGAATCCTCCTGCTCGGCATCCGCACGCACAAGCCTGGAGTTGAGAACCCCATGCATGCAAGGCTGTCTGCAGTGGCTTGTTGGGGCTGACTGCATTCTTTCCCAAGCCTCCTGGTTGGTTGTCGAAGGCATCCAACTCATGTGGTTGAAGAGCAAGTTCAACAATCTGTGGAGATGGCCACTCGGCGATCTTGGGCAGCAAATGTCGAAACGATGGTTGGAAGTCAAGAGCCGGGAAGCACTGCAGTTTGGGCATCTGTACTCCAGGATGAGTGATCACAGCCCACCAACGTGTTCGCTTGGCCGGCCAGAGTTCATGCAGGTGGCACAGTTGTTGTTGAAACGTGTATCCAGCGGCCTGGCAAAAGGACTGCAATGTATCTTGTACCCATGGCGAATGGAGCGCCTCCTTGGTGCATTCCAGAATCATAGCTACCGGCTGGTACAGGTAGCATGCTGATACCATACCTTCGAAGCTTCGAGCTCTTGGGTCATATTGTTGGCGTCCGTCCCCCAGTTGGGAAAAAGGTTGGCATGCAAAACCTCCGGTTATGATACATGGGTCCTTGGTATATGGCAGCAAGGCCAATTTGACTTCAGTGCTATCGATGTCCCCAGCAATGACTGTCTGTCGGCGAGCACGCAACCAATTAACGTACCTGTCGTTGATCTCAACATGGCAACGGACTTTGCTTCCAATCAGGTGGTAACCAGCAGTCATGATGCCGTAGCCTGAACAGATGTCGATGACTTCTGTGGATCCTGTTCGATCGATCATGCCATGAATCAGTGTGGTCGAGTTCGTGGCAGCCAAAACAACCGTTCCTTCTTCCATCGTTTTGTCCGCTGAGAAGATGGTGAAGCGGTCTCCCTTCAAATCAACTCCAGCCAACCGAAAAACTTGCCCACGGAGCGCCGTCGTGCAGTGGTAGACGGCTCTATGGGAATCTCTATACCAAGCTCGCCCGGCTATATGGATCTTGGATCCATCCTCTATCTGCCCCAACCATGGCTCGGGGTCAAAGTAGGCCATCCGCGCCCCCCCGAGTGCTCGGCCCGCACCGGCACACCAGCTGGTAGGTGACTCGGGCCCGTGCCTAGCGATGGCCTCCAACCTAAGAGCGATGGCCTCCAACCTAAGAGCGA